TCAGCACGCACACGTCATGTATTTCGTAAACACGTGTATAAGCCCCAGCCATCAAGCACTTTTCCCATTCCATCGGTAATTTTAATTTGTTATTTAATCCTCTTCTTTTTCATTTTAGAATCAAGCACGTCAGGCATGATCGATCCGTGTGGTTTAAAGCAAACCGAAACTCAGTAAAAGGAATGAGTCAGAATGAAAAATAAACTTCCGCGATGTCTTGGTTTATTTATTTATTCACTTGCCAGGCCATTTCTCATTTTTTTTCTTTCGCTCATTTTCAATTTTCTGGCTTTTTCCAATTTAATATCCTCTGCGGTGTGAATGTAGGCGTTGTCAACAATTTTTTATCATAAAAATGCAATTTTGTGGAATCATCATCTTCATCCCTCAAAAGTCGGAAGGGAAGTTATAAATCCCTCTTCGTTAATTAATGAAAAAATTTCATTTTCAAGGGAATGATGTTTCACCCTCGCCCTGGGGGCGTCCATGACTTTCAGCGATAAATCGGCCATTAGTTGATGAAAAAAACAGATTTTCGACAAAAATTTCCGTTCGTTCCGCTAAAATTGATGGAATTCCATTGAATTTTCAACCTTTCACGTTCTCCTCAGGAACAAATATAAAATATTGGCATTCCTCTCCCCACTCTGTATATCTCTCATTTCCTTATTCCTCGAGGGAGCGGTCACCCCTTGATGTATACTATCTTCGATGTGTAATCTGACCGGTGATTTGGTGAATTGTTATGTGATAACGTCCAAATGTAATCTTGGTGAATGATATTTTTTCAAGAGTCATGGGTAATTATAATGGTATTGTTGGAAAATTTCCAATTTGATAGATCCACTCTTTGATCCTCGATGGAGTCGATTATAAAGCAGGTAAAAGAAATTCCCAAACACATGCTGGCGTACGTGTCTACATAAAATGAAATATAACGTGACTAACAATTCTGAGAAATCTCCAGGTGAGGATGGGAGCCATCGGCTCCCAATATACTATCGAGTCCCATCTCGTTGATATTGGTGTATCATGGTGAGTTCGATATATGTGAATGCTTTGGGGAATGAGAGGGTGAGGAAGGGAGAGGAAGGGAGAGGAAGGGTGAGGAAGGGTGAGGAAGGGAGAGGAAGGGAGAGGAAGGGAGAGGAATGGAGAGGAAAGGAGTGGAAGGGAGAGGATTGCTGAAGAGGGCATAAGAGGGCGGAGGTAGGGCAGAACTCGAAAAGTTTCTAGTAATCGATTGCCATGGGTGGACGTTTCCCCGTTTCGTTTCTCATCTGTCTCTCTTCCCCAGCATTGAGGGATAACGAAAAAGAAATGCCGCGGAAATTTATACCTGACTGAAGGCCCCGAAGGCAAACCCAAAAAGATGCATCCCTCCCTTCAATGGTTTTGGGACCTCGAAAAACCCGGCCAGTGGTTATATTCAACTGTGAAACGAAAAATATATGCTTTCGAGCAAAATAGCCTGCGAAACCCGGCGCGCACACACTCGTCTTTCCTTTCTTCTTTGGTGAACACGTGAACACCAATTCGACTGGCCAAACTCGAAGGGGGGACAACAACCGAGAAAGAGACACCGAATGAGAATAAAAAAATGTGTGAAACACCGGCTTTCCAAAAATAGAAGAATAGTGTACACATATTTGAGCTTTTTCTCAAACAGAAAAAGTGAGGTAAAAATCCGAGAAGTGGATACTCAAGGGACATTCGACTTTTATTGTGCAAAACGATTTAATTTTTTTATCCCATTTCCACGGTGTGCCATCGTATGCCCTCTCAAATTCACCAGAGAAAGAGAAAAACTTTCAAAAATCTTATTTCTCCCTTTTCAACGGAATTTGTAAACTGAGACCACAGCCACGATGGCCATCGGCCAGTGTAATGAATGTCCGTATAAATTTTGAAAAAAAAAATATCCCCGACGCCCAACAGCTGCCCTCCATCATTAACATATGTATAAATATTATTTAAAGTGGTGCAGGATATTACACTATTTTTCTGAACCCATTGATCCCGATAATTGACGTCATATGTGATGGTCATCGCCTTATCATACATCACTGATTATCGAGAATATCATGGGAATATCGTAATGACTTTGCGGGCGATGTAATTCTATTTATTTTGCTTCATTTGGTTTAGCCTGAAAAATACAACCGCAATGGCCCGTGGGTGACGATGTTTCATTTCACAATTCCCAGTGCATTTCAGCTACCTGCGGGCTTACACCTATAATCAAGTGGGTCACTTTTTTTTTTTCTCTGTCCCAGAGACATTCCACACGGGTGTTCGCGCGACAAGCACAAGGGAAAAAGAGTGCGGGGAGGCTAACCGAGGGAAAAAAATATTCCAGGGGAACAAAAAAAAAAGGAAAAAACGAGGGAAGATGTATTTGTGGTAGTTGGTTTGGGGCTGTATCCTTGGAGAGGCTCTTCCAGGTATACAGGAGGGCCCAGGTAGAGGCCCCCCGAGGCCAGTCACACACATAAATGAACAAAGAGACTCATGCCTGTTCTTCTCTCTCAACCAATCCTGAAGTCCCATTTGTCTATGAACCTATTCCAATTTTTTATTCAAAGCATTTAAACCATTAAGGTTTATTTTCATTTCACTGAGAGAAATATCAATAATTTTTACAAGTGGGGCATTTATTATACTGGGGAGTGCCTTCATATCGTGTGGGGTATCTGAAATTTAAACCACTTTTTGGAGCAATATTTAATTATAAACACCAATGGTGAACTACTTTACTGCTATTGGCACAAGTGATTACATTCAACGATTGATTTTATTTATTTTTTATTGTCCCACCAAAGTGTTTCCATTATTGAATTGGTGAGATATATCCCCATTGTATGGAAACCAAACTAAAAAAAACGAGTAAAAAAAAAGTTATTGCATTGAATCTTAAAAAGGAATTCTGTAGACGTACGATATGATGTAAAATAAATTGGTACGTTCACTCCACCAACGAGGCATACCAATTTTCCCCAAAAATACATTCTGCCGAGAATGTCGTGTCTGCCTGTCGCCCAATGAAATAAATATTTAAAGTAAACTAATAATAGTGCAGACGTACGTGAACTCCGATGACATTTAAAGGATCAAAAGAAACCGATGACAGAAGATAAGTTAGCATTCCTTTTAATTATCACGTCAGGTGAATGAATTTTTATGGTGAAATTCGAAAAAAAAAAACCGAATGAAAAAGATTAATGCTGGTTAATTCAATAGAATGCACCAAAAGTCGGCATGTGTGACATTTAGAGAGACTAAATCGAGAGTTCCCCCAAAACTATAACGCATACAGTAACGACAAACGCCACACGTTTTTGGATCTTTTGCTCCACCCATTGCGGGCTCTTTGACGTCGTTGGCTTTGATATTCCTACCAGAATATCCCTCCTTTGCTTTTTCATCTGTTTCTCCATCTCCACCGCCTTATTACCGCGTCTCTCCATCCCCGTAGTAAAATCCACGCGACTAAAAAGAAAATCCCGAAAAAAAAAAAGGTAAAACCATTGGAACCATTAATTGATTTTTACTTGTCTGCAACTTCTCATCCTCCATTCATCCTTTTTATTCCCCTAGTTACTCATCCCACCGGCCATTCCGATTATACGACAAATTCGGTACACGCCCACTTTTTCGATATTCCAATTTGTCCGATTCGCCAAACTGTCTCGCCCATAAATTGAAAACCTATCAGTTTTTGCACCAATTACATGGATCCGACGAGGTGTCAAAAAATTTTCACTTACGAATCTGACGCTGATCTGGTACCCCCGCGGAATATCTGGCCAATATGATTTGTGAAGACGTAATAAGAAAATGCAAGAAAAGAAGATGGAGAGATGAAAAAAAAAAAAGCGACAAGTCCCAGGATGAGAATAAAAAAGGCGTCTATGGAAAAGAGGGTGGGGGGAAGCCGTCGGTTCACACCAAAAGACAAAGAGCTGCAAAGAGAAATGTGAAGAGAGGAGAGGAGTGGAGAAGGTGAGGGTGAGAGAGGTGGCAGGTTAGCTCGAAACGAACACGTACGATGCCGCAAAATCGAAGGTGAGGTGGGCGTCCCACACGGTTGTCGGCGTTCACAAACACATGGACATATATACTGACGATATAGTGGAAGAGATATATATACAACAACGGTTGCCTAGGGACTGAGAGTCAAGCCGACACACCATACCCAAGAACGGATATTATCGCCAAACGTTAATTTGCTCGAGGCCGTCCTACCATCCAATTTTCGAGCCCTTACACGCCCACTTACGAGATCGTCCGTTAATACTACGAAATGTCGAAACGCGTTTTCTCGCTCTCCCTTCACTCTGATGCATAAACACAATATGGGGGAGAACAGTAATGCATCTGTATGGAGGTGGGAGAGAAAAATTAAAATACGGTGGGAAAAAATGAGAAAAAAAAAAGTGAGAGGAATTGGTTTTGATCGTGGTATTTGTATTGGATCGATGGAGATCGATCGAGCATGAGGGTCGATCTGTCGCTCATCTATTACTGATCTATCACTGATGTATCACTGATCTATCACTGATTTATCACTGATCTATCCTTGTCACGTTTCGGTGGAATTATTTTACTGATATCGAGTGTAATTCCATGAAATTATACGAAATTATGGAATGAACTCTGAAATCGTGTGGTGTCACTGAATTTCAGAGTGAATCGCTCCTCGATTTTTGCAAAATCGATTGTATAATATATGCGGTGGAATAGGGAAGGGAGGTAAAGAGGGTACAGAGGGGAGGGTAAGATAAAAAAGTATAGAAATCGCGGCAGCCCGTCCATGGCAAATACCTGGCAGTAGGGGGATAACCGGTTGTAGGGCTCGAGAAGATCGAGAAAATTGAGAGGATGCGTCTCTCAAAACTCATCCACTATTCCCTCGTGTCTATGTGACAATCCATCGCAATGTTTACCATCAGTGTATTAATTTTTTAACCTACATTTTTCCTATGATTTATGTGTTACAGATTTCGAATAGACAATACCGATCACATTATAGACGTTAACAAACATAATGCGGCCTTTGAATATGATCAGGTCAATATCATATGTCCTGTCTATTTGCCAGGGACTTACGACGATGAGGCTGAGAGATACATCATTTACAATGTAAGGATATTTGTGTGATTTGAGGAAAAATGGAGAATTGATTATTTCAATTGTTTTAATTTTAATGGATTTTTGTTCGATAGGTATCGAAAGAGGAGTACGAGACTTGCCGGATAACGAATCCAATTCCGCGTGTTATAGCTGTATGTGATAAGCCCTTCAAGACAATGTATTTTACGATAACATTTAGGCCATTCACACCACAACCCGGTGGACTTGAATTCCTTCCTGGCCACGATTACTACTTCATCAGCACCTCATCCAAGGATGATTTACACAGGCGCATCGGTGGACGCTGCACAACCCACAACATGAAGGTTGTCTTCAAGGTGTGCTGTGCAAATGAAACCAACGGATCACCAACATCAACATCCCGCAACTACTGTAATTATCCATTTCAATGATCAATCCTCCCTAAAAAATTAGATAAAAAGGTTTAAAGGTTCAGCTATTTTTTTTCTTCCCCCATTGCCGTTGAAAATTAATGTTGCCACGGAGAAAAAAAATGTCTCCACCCCTGTGTACCTAATAAATTTATATTCCCCTGATTTTGGCCCTCAGTTCCATCAGCTGGCACCAACAGCGGCAGTAGTACAGTATCAAGCTCAACGAGTATTGGTATTTCGGGTGGTAATGGCGTCGGTATGCCACCATCACCACCTCCAAGTGTCTTCAAAGGTGGGGATCGATTCTACCCGGGAGGCAACATCTATCATCATCAACCTGGTACAGCGCCCACTCTACCCCACGGTCCCCCACCAAACTATCCGTCACATCCCCATCAGCCGCCGATTCACAATGGACAACCGTCCTCGTCACCGCCCAAGACCTCGATCACCCAGAAGAAGAAGAACAGTACGTATGGTTGAAAAATAAAAAAGAAAAATCTACCAAAGAATTACTCGACTCCCTCTACCTCCATACTCTCTTTCTCACCCAGCACCTGCCCACCTCACGGCATCAACTCATTCTCCTTTTCGTCTTTCATTTCATCGCGGCCTTTTTCACCTTCGCCCTCAGTCCCCCCTCTCGCCATCTCTCCTCATCGTTTCTCCTCTCTCCTTTTTTACCTTCATCTTTCCTCATTGCGATTAATCTCGCACCTTCACAACCGACGATTAATGCCTTTTATATACTCCAAGACACCTGTTCCCCCTCAACAAAGACAGATTTTCCCGAAAATAATTTCCACTACTCCATTCAGTCGAGTAAAGAGTGCCTCGGGGAGAAAGAGAGAGATTGAAAAAAAGGTGTGTCAATTTGTTTTACAGAGGAATACTCGGATCACCCGAACGAAGTTGTGAAGAACGAGGAATTAACGTACAACGGTGCAAGCTCATCGCAATTACGACATAAAAACCTGAGACTGCTGCTCGTATCAACGAGCACACTTCTGGTCAGCATGTGTTTGCCCTATTTAATGCGGTGAAGCCTCAGCTATTCAGTGAATAATTCACCGATTGAAAAGAAAGAAAAATAATAATGCAAAAAAAAACCCCTTCTTCTGTGATTATCCTACGTTTAATTATTCATTTAAAGCAATGCAGCCATTGGAATGATTAAAAATTCCGATGGACTAGAACGACAAATTACATACTATTAAATGAATTAATTATGAGGAGTGAAAAAGAATAATACATGATAATGTATTCGGCCGTTGAGGTGAAGAAAAGTAAACACGATCAAGCCATATTAATATTAAAATGATATTACGTCTAGGCACTTGGTAGTTACGGCCACTAATTATCACTACTATTGCATAGTGAGAGAAGTTAAGAATGAGGTGGTAGTTATATTGATTGTCCTTATCACGAAGAAATAACGAATAGATATTTATTCTAAAGTACGTCGACGACACTTGATACGGGCTATCCACGTGTTCACGTCGAAAAAAAAATTTTCAAATTTACCAATTCCGAATTTCAACCTATCGAAATACGCCACTCACACGTCAAATGCCATGGAAATGAGAAGACAATGGATTTAGAAATGCTCTCGCTATTAGTTTCTATCGAATACTTTGTAAATATTTTTTCCAATAATCCATACGTTACTGCATACACAATAATGTTGGATTCGGTGTGATGGGTGAGAATAGGGTTTGGGACAGTAATATTCAGCGAGAATAATTTCTACGATAAATAATTTAATTGATTTCTTGTTTCGATGGCTGCAGGGATAAATACACTTAGGTGATTCTGTATTACTACACAGCGTTGAGTGAACGTATTTCGTACTCCTGTCTCGTAATGAAATTATGTAACTCATGTAAATAGTTGCCTAAACAAATGTACTATAAAAAAATCGATACGTGACTGGCAAGTTGATAAAGACGAATGGGAGAGAAAACAACTAGCCGCATCATTAGAATTTTAGATTCGTTTGATGCACTAGCGATTGAATGAATCGAATTGTCGGTGTGAGTCTATTCGCAGAGCCTAAATTAACTCGAACTAATAAGATTTAAATGAAATCAAGTCCAATGACGAACGAATAAAAAAAGTGAAACAAATTGTAATATAATTGTACCATAATGCGACTTTATCGAATAGGCCTGTATTATATTTATTATCATCGATATCTATTATATTATTATCACGAAATCAGGATGTCCAATTCGATATTCCATATAAATATATTATAATTAGGTAAATATCAAATTGAAAAACTGAATGAAAAAAAAATTTGAGATTTTTGTCTCTCTCACTTCTGACCACCCCACATTATTATGAATTATAACCGTAACAGTTATTATTTTTTTGGTATTAGCAGTCAAGAGGAAGGCATTCGTAATGTTCAATTGATTTTTCTTTGCATAATCATAGTCATTAAAAATAGATTCATTACTCTATTCTAACTAATTTTCAATACGTCAGTTTAAAATCCATAAAACAAATATTCCGTTAACAAGAATGCCCGTACCTCGTGCAATTATTCACAACTCTGAGTAGAATAAATGAAATTGCCGTTTGCCATACGGAAACTGACGAGAGACAACCCGAATGTCCGATTATTCCAGACTCACGGAGATCTGCAGAGTAAAACACCCGGAAACGAAAAATTATTGTAAATATTGTACGTTATGTTAAAAAAAAAATCCCCGAGGCTAATTTTCACCTTGGACGCGCACGAAGCTGCTGCTTTATTCACTGACACAATTATTTGTCCATGACATCTGATTTATCAAAATCAATCAATTAAAAATCCCCACAAATGGCAGAACAGAATGGACAGATAGGACGGTGTCATAGACACCGAGAATTAAAACATTGAGAAAAAAAAAATCATCGATTCAAGGAGAAACATCAGTTATCCGTGTGATCCACATAATCAGTGAATATATAACACTCACGCATAAGAAATAACTTATCACATAAAATTGATAATCAAGTGTTAACAATAGTTTCGCATCCCTAATCTCCCTGCTTACACCTTCCGAGCCATGTGATTCGAACAATAGCTCCTATTCACATGACTTAATCCATTGTGCACCCATAAACAAACGCGTTATCGCCTTTAACTTTATAGTTTTTTAGTAACTCAACGGGTTAACACAATCTGTGAATATCCGACGCACGCGATACCGTCATCTTTATACACCCACACAAAAGCTGAGCTGTTCACCACTCATATCAACCTGTTCACCCATCACTGATGTTTCTCCTCAATATTAAATAAAGAACGCGTGTGTAGCGTTTATCCATTACAGTATTGTAAGCCTAAGTATTACACGGCCTACACGAGGGCAACGTGTGCCTATCCGTTCAGCATGTCCACTAATTGTCAACGCCTGTATTTTCTGTATGATTGTGCATGATGAAACAAGTATTTATTTGTTAATCTTATCGATCCGTTGGTGTGCATACACTTAGCTCCTTGAAGACTGACAACGCCTCAAATAACTGATAGATTATACGGCAGTTGATGTAATCAATTTGTTTTTTTTTCTCTCCTTTTTTTTAAGAACCGACTAAATTGTGTTCACAACGGATAGATTTGAGATGATTCGAGAAATTAATGGAGTGATTATTGAACGCGTGATAGCAGCAATGATTACTTAGATGATTGAAGTGAATTAATATTCACGAGAATGCTAGATCAATACAGTATAACAGTTATTTAGGCTCCAACTATAGATAGAAAATAGACAAAATGACAACACTGCGAAATCACTCTTTTCATTTTTTTTTCTTTATTTTCCATTTTTATTCACCCTATCCATTCAATCCTCCATTCCACTGCGTATTTTACTGAAGGCCAACCCGAAATCCCATACACTCCTCGTACCTTTCATGATTTTTTAGTTATTACTTTTCATTTTCTCGTTCTCCCATTTTGCCGAATTGCATTATCAATGCGCGCGGAGAAGAATAGGGAAAAAAAATTCAATTGAAATTATTAAATTGAATAATAACAGGGGAAAAGCTGCAGTTATTGAAACACGTCTTTGTAAATAAAAGAATAAACGAATCAGTAATTAATAAGAGACTAAGAAGACGATTAAGAGATGGGGAAAATGTATATTAAGATTCATAGCAAGTATTAAATAGGTTTCTAATAATGGTTTATATAAAAGTGGATGTACGTTGATGTCTAAGATTTTTAACACAATGAAGAGAAAACCACAAAGTGATTATTATAATCGGTTGTATTTTTTTTTCAAATCCACAATGATAGAAAGACGTAAGAGGGGAGAATTCATGAAGATTAATGTGGATAATTAAATTTTGTCAGGGCACTGGTATTTGATCTCGGCCTCAGAAATTGATAGAGTGAATAACAATTCTAGTCAAACTCTAAACGAACGATTTCTCATCAAATCACGAGTCAATAAAATTCCATTATCGATTCGGTGTGCATATTCGATGAAAAAAAAAAAACAAGTCTCGAATATTTCGTGCACTCTTTTATTAATTTTCCGTTAAATCGTACTATTTACCCCGATATAAACAGTATACTAATAAGACGTCGGCATATCGGCTTACAGGTTTATTCATACAATGCATACAAAGTACAGTAGAACTCATAAACAGTAGACCATTCGTAGCGCAATAGTAAATTAATGAAAAGAAAAAAAAAACAGAAAAAATAATCATGAAACTTCACAGAAACAAACCGATACTATAAAGCATAGCAACGTCTTGTACTTACACTGATTAAACTGGAATACACTGAATTCAACATATACTGCACTGATATATCGACGCGTCACAACAGCAGAATAGAAAATCACAAGGGAGGATATTTGAAAGATGAAAAATTCATTCATTTCAGACAAATTCCCATCTCGGGTTTTGTCCTATATTAAATATTGTACTGTACGCAGTAGCGTATACCAATGGTATAAAGAAAGTAAAGAAATATGAACGATATCTATAAAGAAGAAAATTTATGGGATGCCATACGTCAGACGAAAATTGAATCAACTTGAAAAATGGCTCGTAATCGTGGAGCCCGAAAGTAAGTGAAAGAAAACTCGAAATATATTAATTAGTACAAAGAGATACTTTATGGCACGAAGTGTACGTATGATTTTTTTTTTCTTCTCTTCACTACTGATGCTTTGTAGATTCGCCACTAATTATTATTTTTATTTTTCATTTGAAGATCAAATTTAGAGGAAATAAATTTTTTAATGGTCAATACGAACGTCATTTTCTAAGGTAAATGTCCGTAAAGAACGAAAAAAAAAATTATATTAGTCCATATAAAATGTACATGTACATACACTTGATATATGTACATAATATAGAGTTGAAAGTGCCATAGAAATTAACGAACATGAATTTTTGGAATACTACTAATGAGAAAAATAATAATTAGCAATTAAAATACACATGAGAAAATGTTCATTACGAGTTTTTGTATCATTATTCGTGCTCAAAAGGGGGAAAATTTCAATATTTTTCCAGTAAGCATTGACGCATAAAAAAACGCTTAAATTCGACTGACAATTCATTATCACCCCAATATCAACGAATTTTTGATGTGTAAAAATTAATTGACCTGTTATAATTGTTATACGACAAAGCAAATACGTCCTTTTTCGAGTTTTTTTATTCTGCATCTGTTGGAGAGGGAGGAGGGGCGAGTATTTAATCGGGGCGATGTAACAACTGTTTTGTAACGTTCAACGTCATTCAGCGATGTCAATAGTTTATTTCTCAAATTGCTTGGTCCGTAAAAAATAATGAACAGAGAAAAAAAAAGGGAATAAACTCCGTGAATGAAAGAGACGTTTTTCATTCGCAATCTTTCTTTTCTGCAATTAGCGTATATACTTGGAAAGCACAATCACAGCGAAGAAACGAAATTCAATAAGAGGGAAAAATAAAAATCACGGAGAGCCTGCACACTAATCGTCTTAATTACCTAACGACAACAAAGCACGATAAAAAAAAAGGAAATAAAATACTCATGATTGTACTGATTGTTGAACGTGGCTAAAAAATAGTAATTAAAATAGGTCGTTTAAGAGAGTATGCATACAGTGCGAGCCCTTATAAGCCGCCACTAAAACGAAAAACGCGCGTGCTTACTGACAATGGCCTACTAAAGAATCGAAAAATCACGAGAACGCGAGGAATTAATACTGAAGACGAGAAAAAATTATCGCTTACTAAGCACACGCGTTTTCACTGACGATAATTATTGTTATACATGAAATTAAAAAAAAAATCGAAACGGTGTGGTATACAAGACTAAGAACGAGACCTAAAAGTGGGACATAATATTTTATAACTCAACTTTTGTACAGAATAAATAAATACTTGTACTGTGGACCAATATATCTTTCATTCAATTTTCACCCCTCGGAATTGAAATAACAAATGCGAAAAATTGGATTAAAAATATGTAATTTATTCATCGTCATGTACTCTATGCGTTTAACCTAGTTTGAATGAGTGGGACGATGACAACTCTATTTTTTACCTCTGGTAATTTCCACCATCTGCCCATTCTATGCTCCTGGCCAACACCGAGGATTAAATTCTTCCCATCAGGAGTGAATGCCATTGCATTTATGAAACCTGGGATTTTTATATCGAAAAGGGGTGTTAGCGACCTAAAAGACTCGCCGCATTTCCAAAGCCTCACGATGCCATTCCTTGATCCTAAAAAATTTCCAGATAAAATATCAAATGAAAATTCTTCAACGTCCGTTTTTGTCATGAAGATTAAAAATATTCACCTGATGCAACTAAATCCGTATTGAGAAGAGTTGCAATACTCGATATCCACATGGGCTGACCATTCATCTGATCCTGTCCATGTGCAAGTGGAATGGAGCACAAGGGCTTCTTTTTCTGCGAGCCCCAGACACAGAGTTGCCCATCGTCACCACCACTCAAAAAATTCTCCTCATTGATGAGTTTTACAATGTCTATACTGCTGCCAGGGCCATTGAATATCAACTGGGATTCCTCGACAATTTTCCAAATTCTAATAGTTCCATCGTAACCACCACTGGTGATTGCCCTCTCTCGTGATAATGCATCTATCGATGTAATTGGATTCTGATGCCCGAAACTACAAAGAAGACATTACAATAATTGAACTATGCATTAATGGAATATTGAATCGATACTAGTGTCCAATAATAACTCACAGGGACTCCACGTAGACCATGTCATCGAGATTCCAAACTTTAACACTTCGATCTTCAGAGGACGAGTACAACGTATGCGTATCTCTACGGAATACCAAACCTGTGACAGCTCCCCTGTGACCTTGTAAATTTTTCAAAGGCTTCAGATCTTCAGCATCGAAGACCCTAATGTCTTTGGACCCAGAATCCCCCGCAACCTGGTCCACAAGATTTAATCAGCGAATAAATTCTAAAGAGGATTGCAAAGACAAAATTATTCTACTCACGAGAAGTTTTCCGTCGGAGCAAATGGCTATGCAGAGAACACATTTAATTCCCTCCTTTGATTTTCGTTTTCCACCGATGGTTCGCAATTTAGTCTTGGAGGATAAACACCACTTGACAATGCTCCCATCCTTGGACCCACTAAAAAGGTATTTACCATTGCTCGAAATGCACAAACAACTGATTGAATCCCGATGGTCCTTGCACCTGAGCTCAAGAAATTCCTCATGACCTGTGTAAGTGCTTGCTACGATTTTCCTGAGTTTTCCCTTCTCCTCCAAGTATTCTTCCTGCAATCTCCTGGATACAGCACCTTCCTCAAACTCTTCTCTATCCCTCTCTTCCTCTTCAATTTCAGCTAAATATTTTTTCGCCAGTCTCAAACGTTTCTCCTGAGCTGTCTCCTGGTCTTCCCCAGACTCATACTCATCCTCCTGTTTGCCTCTTTGATTTTCTTCAGCAAATTCCTCGTCACTACTTGCAATGCTCTCATCGTCTTTGATCTTCGATTTTTTACTGCTGGAGGATTTTCGAGAGACTGACTCAGTGGTACGACCTTTGATGTGTCCATTAGCCTTATAACCAATAATTATTAACATAAACTAACGTCTTCACTAATTAATCTAGTGAATAAACAATGTATCCAGTGGATAACCTCAACTCTCATCTTTTTTTAAAGATGTAAAAACAAATTTTAATTACCTTTCGTTTGAGGGATTCATTCTTTTTCCTTATAAAAAACGACATTTCACTGCAGAAGAAAAAATCACGGAGAAAATGAAGGGAATATATTCAGTACATATTCACACGCGAGCACATGGCCAGTACTGAACACTGTTTTCTTCCAAACGACTCCGATTTTTTTAATCACTTTACCAACAGTCGATAACCTAGAGACTCCATAGATTTATCCGAAGAGGCCTGTGTGTGTGTGGCGCCATCTCTCTTTTGGGGTAAGGTACACGATGTTCTGGGGCTTTGAGTGACCCCAGCAGCATCGTAGTACTGCACCCCAAAAGAGGGAGGGCGCAACACGCAATGCTGGGGTGTTTTTTTTTTATTAACCAAGTTTTTATTGCAATGCTGGGGTGTCCATCAAGTCGACGGGGTGAATTTTATTTTCTGCTGTACGAATGCTTTTTGTTTTTCATTTGTTTAACTTAAATTTAGCCGACTGTAGCACGTACGAAAGGGGGAAACCACATCTTGTGGAATTTCAATGGAAAAAATTATTCAATATGTTGAAGATATACCACTAATGAATTTCTATTTTTAAGTTAGCGCGTTGTCCTAGCGGTAACGTGCTCGGCTGGCACGCCGGTGGCCCGGGTTCAATCCCCCGGCCACTTTCATTTTTTTTTTCAAAATAATTCTAATTTTTTTTTTTGTTAATGGCAAATCAATCGAAATATCGTTTAAAAACTGAATATTTCAAAATCGAGAAGATATCCAGTGAAATTGAAAAATTAGCAATTTTTTAAAACGATACTTTTGCAA